ATTGCTTCACGTTCTCATTCTTGACAAGGTCACGGATGTCGAGACGGTTCGGGGCCAACGCCTGAATGCCCGGGGGGGTGCTACCATGGGGGCCAGTAATCACGAGCTTGGGCTGCGACATGTCGAGAGGAAGTGGTTCTGGTGGATGTAATCAACTACTGGTGTGGTTGGGTGAGGACTTCGAGAGATGTGGAAGTCAGTTTATATACCTTTCGCCACGAGCAAGTAAAGTTAGTGTTTCAATCAACGCCCGCAGAATTACCGCGCCTGTGGGAAAAAGTACCTGTGGTGCAACGAACGACAGATGGTATAGACGGGGCGCACTGAAGTGGTACACATATCTGGCCTCCGTGTAGCTCTGAACAGTAAATCTGTAGCTGTTTTAAGAATGAGACGCTGTCCTGTCACGAAAATCAGCGAACCCTCAGTCGGACAAGTTCGCCGTTGTCAAATACGAAGGCACGAGGGCGTCATGGATTGAACGTAGATGCACTCGCATTTCCTGTCTTGGACTTACTGCGAGCTGAAAGCGCTGACTAGGACTAGCGGCATTTGTCGGTCGATCCAGACCACCGATACTAGGCATCTGTCCTCGGAGAACATGTCAGGTCTATGGAGGAGGCGCTCAGAAACCAGACAGGTGGCAATGAACATGATGCAAAGCGCCTTGTGAGAGGAAATTACATGGTAGGCCCGCTGAACCTCCGAGTCATGTTAGTGGTTCCCAGCGTAGCGCCGCCACTCGGAATACCTCCAGCAAGCGGATAACAGACTCGACTTGCTCAACAAAGTCGATTTGCTTTTCTCGTGTAAATCTGGGAAATCTGCTAACATCATTAACTTGGAATACACGGTCGCCAGAAGCAGATCTAGACCCACTTGATACATGAATTGAAGCATACCTCGGACTAAGTACTGCAGTTGCGGGGAATCCTTCAAGTTGTTCTTGTTCAACGTTCGTTCAAACGTAATTGGACCTCTCGTGGTCGCCAACGTCACGATGTGCTAAGACGCGGTGACCGCCGGCCAAGCCAGAAATGGGCGTTTAAACACGGCACGGCTTCAGTACTACACGACAAGGCTCGGAAGGGGATGTGGGGGTATCTAAGTACTGTCTAGTATGGAGGTGGTGACAATAGCAGTAAGGTTGCGTGCGCAGGGTGGAGGCTGTAGGGATCAGGCGTGTGCCTATGGGCCGCTCGTAGGCGTTGAATCGGGATATATCTTGTACGGAACCGCATGTGAAGCACAAGGGAGAAGGAGAACCTGAGAGGAGAAAAGTCCGGGGTCTCCTAGTAAAGGAGCGTGTCGGATTCGGCCCCATGTTGCACGCGAGTATTATCGAAAAATGAGGGGAGGTGGGTACTTACGGTGCTTCGCCATGCAGCTCGCACCACGACGGGCGCCGCCGTCACTCGCCTCCGTATTCATTGTCTGGGTCTTCGTTGGGCTCGTCGTCACCTGGGCCAGGGGGTTCCGATTCATCTTTCCATCGTACTCTCGCCCCCTTCGCTAAATTTCCTCTCACCTGCCTTCGTGAACACCCCGCTCTCGTGGACAGTTCTTAGGATCGTCGGCCCGGGGAGGTCCATGGCATCGCTGAGAATAAGTCTATGTGTTGCGTAGCGTGGACAGTCTTGTGATGAGTTGTGTTGTGGGGCTGTGAGGCAGCGCCGCACGGGCAGCGCATATAGACATGTGGCGAGGTGAAGTGCACGATGTGATATTGTGATTTGTTGAAAGTGATATTGTGATTTGCGAAAGTGATTGTGATTTGTGTGTGATTCGTGAAAGTGGTCTACTCAACCCGAGCATCATTATATCACGATCAGCTGGGCCGGGCCGGGAATTCAAAGAGAATGAATTCGATCATCTTGGGCTTGGCGTCTCGGAGTCGATCATCGAGCAAGTCCAGCCGCGCGCGGCGAATGCGGAGTTCTGCATGGCGAGATGCTACAACACAAAATTGTCTGTATGTAGCTAGGCAGTAGTTGAACCATTCTTACGGAGCAGGCCGTACTGTCTGAGATGTGCGTGGTACATCTAACCGAGAACACGGATACGGCGAAAAGTCTTACGTATAGAGTACATCACAAAGTCTTGATCTCTGCGAGAACTCGTCCATCTGTCGACTTAAAAATCTGCGAAAAGCAGAGAGTGCGCGTATACAGTGTATCTACTGACCGACCAAGGCGATCGAGGAGAGACGACGCAGTTGTGTTGCTAGAATGAGAACTTCTGCTGGGATGCTGTGCACGTGTGCAACGCTTCGAACCACACTCCTCCAGATTTCGCAGCTCGTTGCCATGATCGCACCCCGATCAGTCGTGCATTCAAGGTTTGTGAGCCTCAGGAATCTGCCTGTGAACCCTGCTAAGCAGCAAGGGCCCTCGTTCGCCTGCGATCGTATGTTTTCAGTGCGGATATGTCATCAGCGGTGGTATTTGGCTCGCGAAGCATCGCTTAGCAGCGTCTGCAAGGCAAAACTGATGTGACGTGCTTTTCGACCGTTGCGGCACACCTGCAGCGCTTTCCTCCCGTCCAAATAACATTTGACTTTGCGAGGGCATTGCAAGGATACTTGTGGATACATCCTGCAACATCCGAGCAGCTCGCTGCTGGCGGATATCGCACAATAATGCTTTGATGGAGATTCCAAACTCCGGCTAGGTATTTGGTTCCGTCGCACCATAACGGGATGTGAAAGCAGCCCACTCGTGTGCTGCACCGCTCGACGCGAATGACGTCGCCGGGCGCGCGCCGGTAGCTAATATAGCAGACAATGGGCATCGGCAGAGTACAACTTTGCGGGTCGAGGCATTCAGACGCACAGCGTGTGAGCGAACCGGCATCAATTGATAGGTCAAGCTATGTCGCAGACACGGCCGAGTACAACAGAAGCACGGGAAACTCCAGAGAATAGTATGAAAAAGAGGAGAAAGCGAATAGGGTGAGCGATGATGATAATCCTAAGAGTCCCATGTGATGTAAGATAGAGAACAGCCACGTACAACCCGAGCCGAGGAAAAGAGGAGACACCAAGAGACGACAGTATGTACAGCAATACAACATACTCGAGATACAGATGAGATGAGAAAGATACATTGTCCGTCGTAAATGAAATCATCTAGACGGTCGAGCATGAGCATCTAGAAGCGAACACGCAGAGAGGAGGCTCACCATATGATCGTGATCATGAACGCGACTTTCGCGACTTGGAGGCGCGCACGATGTCTCCCAGTCCATGCCCGATATTATGCACGACACTCCCGTCTGCCCTGCAAGACCCCAGCTTCGCCTGACGATGGTTATGGCGCGCATGCCGCTGCCACGCGTCAGACCGCGAAAAGCCCTGGCCGCACCCTGCAACCAGCGAAAGCCCGTCGACACCTTCGGCACACACGACCTCATCGTCTGGGAAATAGTGACCAGCGGCCTCGGCCGCCTCCCGAGGAACGCCGCAGAAGATACGATGGTGGGTCGTGGGCATGTGCGTGTTGAAATGACGCTTGAAATCTGCCGGGCGTCCGCTGGCCTCCTTTCCGCACACCCGACAGTACCCGTCCACAGCCTTGGGCGCTCCTCTCGAGTAGACAGCTGCCTCCTCGAGACTCAGCACAATGTTCCGAGACGAGGGCTTTGAGCTTCCCGCGAGACGACCGGCGGTGGGGTAGGGCGCGGAGCCCTCCTGGCGGGCTGCCGCACGCGTGTCCTTGCGCGCGGTCCGTCGCGCTGACGTACCGGCGCGGGGGTGAGGGGCAGAGCGGGGGTGCGCAGGAAGCTTGCGCGACTTGGCGGGAGGGGACGGAATGTACTCGCCGTCGCGAGCGTCGTCGTCGTCGTCGCTCTCTCCCTCGGCGTCCGCGTCGGAGTCGTGTTCGGCGACTGGCACGGACAGAGGCATCTCCCAGGCCGGCTGCGCGTCGATCACCGAGGCGGATTCGACTGCCTCCTCGATGAGCGGCAGGTCAAAAGATGGCGCGCCAAAGTCCACGACGGCGCGAGAGTGGAGTTGCGCCAGAGGCGACGCGTCCAGGAAGTCCCCAAAGTAGTCGGGCTGACTTGGGTACGCCGCGTTGGGCAACGACACGAGATATTGCGGAAAGTTGAGATCGTAGGTGGGGTCGGCGGGATGATACTGCAGCATCGGCTGCATGTAGAGGTCTTCGACCCTGAAACAAGCATGAGCAGTCGATGAGCAAGGACAAACGCGACGAGCAAGCATGACGTACAGCTCGGGAGCAGATCCCCATGTCTGGTCGAGCGAAGGGTAGGCGACGTTGTCGACGCCTACATGCCATTGGAACGGAATGGCATCGGGCTCAGGTGAGCCGGAGGAGAGGGAGCCAATGCATGACGCCGGAGATGCCGTGTTCGGCGGCCCGGGACTGTAGAGGCGGTCGTCCAGTGGCGACCATCCCAAAGGCAGGGTGTCAAAGAAAGCGACGGAATCGGGAGGGGGGGAGACGATATGTCTGTCTGAGTCGTTAGAGATGTCTTCGCAGTCGAACGACAAAGACATTTCGGGGAGTGTGAGTGAAGGGGGAGGTGGGTGGCGGGAATGTGAACAAAGGGCGGGAATGAGGAGGAGTGCGACATGGCGAGGCTTTCTTTATAGGTCGCAGAGGACGTTCGCAGCGTTGGGACAAAGCCGAGGTAGAGGACCCCTCCAGGATGTCACATTAAAAGTCGGGGACCACGACTTTCTGGACAGTGAAGGGCTATCTACACACGCCCGCCATTCTCGATCTCGGCTACTGGCCCATATCAGGCTTAGACTACACGCAGCCGTCTCATTTCCGCTCCGACGGCATCATTCCGGCCATCTAGACGCCCGATCCGCTATAACAACCCCGTCACAAATATCGTCCTCCCAGCGATCCCCCCAGCTCGGCGGGCGCTTTCGCGTTTCATAAACAATCACCCCCGCTTTGGGGTGTTATGTAATCACCCTCCAGGCACTTGCACTCACAGGAAGCATTGGGCAGATCTGTACTCAGTCCGATATGGTGTAACGGCTAACATTACCGCCTTTCATACTGCGTCTCGCGGTAGCTCGGGGTTCGATTCCCCGTATCGGAGTGCGTGTTTTTTTTCTGCAGTCGTTGCGCGACACCAGCATTATACGCCTTCCAACGACTGTGATTCGAGAGCATTCAAATGGACATTAATGTAGACTAGCGATGTCTCCGAGACCGTATCCGCTTGCCATTCTGCACAGAGGGACCCCATCTTAGGTCAAAGCAGTCAGTGTTGCGCAGAAGGCGCGGAGATATGTTATGAGACTCACCCTCGGATAGTTTTCTTCGGTGGAGGCTCATGCGCGAAGTCGGAGGGTGATTCTCCCTGGCGGTACTTCTCCATGCTCCACATGATATACCTAGGCTAGGGCATTGGTACTCGGGCAAGTTTGCAGGCCACATGCATACCTGCGATCACGCACGTCCAGCCCGGCCTTCCTCAGCTGATGTCCGTCAAACTTCCACAGATCCTCCCACTTCTCCACGGTCAGCTTCGTGTCCGACGACCGTCCGATGGCCTTGAGAAAGTCCTCGGGCGTCGCGATGGAGCCTGCGCACACGGTCAGTGTTTCCGCTGGCCAGTACGACGTACACAACTCACCCCGTGGGGGCGGAAGCGGTTTCAGCGCTGCCCTGTTGTACAGTGCACGCGTAGAACGTGCCACGGATGGTAGCCAGTTCAGCCCGAGGCGTTGCGACATCCTGCGCGGTGAGCAAGATTTCTGCGCTGGACGCGTCCAACAGGCGCTGCGCTGTGCGGCGATTGCCTGACGCCCGCTTCTCTAATCTAATCGGGTCGCGTGCTCGCCGAATGGGCCCCCATTATGGCGAGTCGACGAGCAGCCTCCGCGGCCGGGCGAGCACGCGCTGACCTGCAGGCGGAGCACCGCATGATACGGCGCCTTGCCATCGCATTGGCAAGTCCAGAATTCTATCCCGCCGGACTTCCGACCCCGTGCGGTGGACAAGACCAAACGGGGGGGGGGCGAAGGTTTGCATCTCGCAGATGGGACCAACAGTACGGTACTTACCCCTCTCCCCAGACATGCACAATATCCACATCAGAAGACATCGACGGTAGACGGGCTGTGTCTGCACAGGGCCAAAGTACGCATACATCAAACGCTTTCTCGTCGCGCCCCGGGCTCTGCAAACATGCGAAGAGGTCTCGACCCACGACCACATCGGATTTTCTGGACTACGCCAATCAGACCGCACCAAATTGAGCCCACAATGCGCTGGGCTGGGTCAAATCAGTGCAGGCACGAAACGTGCCCCCCTCGCCGCTCCGACCGCGGACCCTTCGGATGCAGGGCGGCTCCACACGCTGGGGCCCATCTGGAAGCCAAAGCCAAATACCTTCTCGGTTTCCTCGAGGCACTAGACTCGCGGAGTGCTGCCGTTTCTTCGTGATGCAAGGCTGATCATGATCTCGTGCAGGACGCTTTCTCTTCCGCATGTTCTTGCGCACCTCTGGGTCTATAGTTCCCTATCCAGTCCACACGCCCGTCTGCCCGATTTCCGGTGACGTACCTGACCCTCCTTTCGGCACGACTGAGCACTGATCAGAGTCGCCGCAGCGGACTCGATGCATCAAACCCGTGGGGCTACTCACTAGTACCCACTCTCGACGCCGGCCCAGGTTATGGGAACTTAATCTCAGGACGTCATTGACGACCGCGAGCTGCATAGCTCAACACGCGCATCCCCGTCGCAGTCTTTGGGGGACTTAGTCCAATGACGTTGTAGCGTGGAGCCTATCATGCCCCCGCGCGAGCAGCGTGCTAGTCTGCGACCGAGCGGACGGATACCTACCTACAGTTTGTGGACGTTCTTCGTGCACGCTTCTGTTCGAGCGCGTTTGCGGTCCCGAACAAAGGCCACCCCGCGTGTAATTTTGCAGCCTGGATAGTTTCAAGTGGCGGATCATGGTGTACATTAGGGACGAGAAGTCCTAATGGGGACTGAAATACTGACGATCAACGCGTCAAAGAACTGATCTGCGACGATTGGCGAGATGGAGGACAGTCCCGTTTGAATATGATGCATATATGCAGCTCAAAGTCCACTATCGCCGTCCTCATCACTGATCTCTTCCGTGAGACTGGGAGCGCCAGCTGCTTGGAGATCAGTAAAGTTTGCAGTCAGCTCTACGACAGAACGGTCCATGATCTGCCATCGGCGATGCTGTGGTGCCTTCGGGCTTTAATCTTCGTCTGTTCTTCCGAGAGGGTCGTTGGAGATGCATGGATCATGCGTACGACGATGGCGATCCACCACCAGACGTCAGATCAATACGCATGCAATGCATCAAAACTGTAGAGCGCAGACCGACGTATGGACAACTGATTAGTTCAAGCCAGGTATCTAAGTATGCGAGGGTATGAACAACTCGGTCATCTGTGTTACGCATAAAAACACGGAACACACCCGATAAAAATACACGTCCAGCTGCGACAGCCAGGCCTAGGGCCTATTGCCACCGCGCAAACATCCACCGCGTCAACAACGATCGCGGCGCTTGCGCACGCTCCGCCTCCTCCGCCTCTGCGCGCAGGCGATCTTGCATCGCGTACTCCTCCTCCACGATGACTTCACCCACCACAGCATCGCGCGTCGAGATGATGCTGCCCATTCTGGGACTCTGCACGGTCGACACGAACGAAGGTGCTGTGAGCGGCTCCACGATAGACAGCACGGAATGCGCAAAGCGGGCGCTGTGCATACGACTGTGTGGCCGAGATGACACCTCGAGCGCATGATCCATCGACACCGAGCGGTCTCGGGTCCGTGCGACCGACACATTAGAGAGGGAGGATGGTCGGTATTCGGCTTGTGGTCTGGTGGGGATATCTGCGCCAAGGGAGAAGGAGCGGAAGCCAGACGAGTCCGTGGCAAATGTTGGGCGCCGGAGTCCATGGCCGACTTCAGCAGAGGAAGGACCGGCGCTGGAATGACTGGACATGCGCCCAGAAAACTGGGAGGGACGACGGGGCCGTACGGGATTGACGGTCACCTCTGCATCGCCTTTCTTTAAGCCCTCCACGCGTGCGGCAATGTCGTGCGGCAGGGCAATCTCCTCTGTACCGGTGAGTTTGTGACGCGTCATTATTGTGTTTGCAAACGAGGCGTTATCGACATGGTCGAAACTGTCGACACTCATGGGGAGCGACGACAAGGAGATGGCGGATGTTATTCCGGCGAATTCGTTGTCGCGCCATGCACCGAGCCTGCCCACCCCGGGCTGACTAGTCAGCGCCAGACAGGACTCAACGGTGTCATCGAGGTCGAGCAGTGCGAGAGGGTCGCGTGGCAGCCATAGCACGTCGTAGATTTCGCGGGTGTAGAATGGATTGTCGTACGTACGGTCAGGAGAAGACTCGTCATCCCAGGCGGGATGAGGTGGATGGCGAGTGACTAGGGCTGGTCTCAACAGCTCCGGTGACTCGGTCAACCGCTGAGTCTGGGCACTGGTTTCGGGGTATTCGTCTGATTCACCCAGTGATGTCATATGCGTAGGTCGTGGTGAAACGACAATATCTGTAGTCGATGTAGTCGAAGATGACTGCTGTAGCGGCTCCTTAGATTGAAGCGACTGAGAAGGACCGAAGGGATTGGGCTGGCGTCGGGCCGCTTGATGTGGTCGAGTAGGAATCGTGGCATATGCGAAGTCTAACTTGACCGGGAGTTTCCAAGACCACCGATTTGTTGGAAATGTTCGTGGATCACCGATTCCGTTGGTAGTACTGTTACCTGCCTCAACTTGCGATGGTTCGACATTAGGGCTTGCTTCGTCGAGTAAACCCTCCGTCGCTATTCCCGTCCCGCAAATAATCGAGGCCTCCAGACTGTTGTCGTGTTCAAATCTAGCGCGGCACATCCGGGTCAACCTGTCGGACAATCAGATGACAATGTCGTGGACTGTAACGGAAATCTCAGGAGACGTACCACATCTTGACGAATGCTGTGAGACCTATCAATACGGCCGTCACGGCGACGTTGACCGTCTTCTTTACCACTACCATGTATGCCAAGAACACAGCCTGCATAAAAAAGCTGCATTAGCAGTATTCTTGTGCTAGCTCACCACCTTACAAACCTGTGATAAAATCTGGCCTAGGATTGATCCGTCAACGTCTGAAGTAGTTAATGAGTAGGATGTGCACTGTACCGTCTAACGAATAGCGAATTAAACGTATCAAGATGATCTGTCCGTTGGCCTCGTAGTTCTTAGCATATACATGGAGAAGCTGTGCGGCGCAAAGTCGACGATCAGTATGCGGACCGTACTGGGATAAATATCATACCTGGTTCTTGATGACCGCTGCATGAGTGTCATCACATAGATCTCAGCACAGACATCGATTCAATGCTTACTCGCTTGTACACCAAAATACACCAAACCGAACGGAATCACCAAAGGGTTGAGCACGGCGAACATCAGGATCACATGGATTACCAAGATATGATTGGGAAGCCAGTCTGTAAAAATCTCTCACTCGGTAATTGCAGATGCCGATACATGTGAAATACATACAGTAATAGTTGAATGTGCGCGGACGAATGCCCAGAGTCCGTTTTCGCGGTGTGACTTGCCGTTTGGTGGCCGGATATACCAAGAGAGGAAGCTGTTGGGTCGTAAGCACGCGAGAGGTGACGACAGAACTCGTCATACCCCAACTAACACAACGGACGGCGCAATGAGTACACACAACACAGCAAATCATCGTGACTTACATAACGCAAGTTCAACTCCTCCATGCATGGCAGTTATGAATATCACTGAACACTGCTTGTCAGCAACTCCTCTGAGATAGGGACCAGACGTGCTCACACCACCCAACGTAGAAGGGACCTGCCGTCGGAAAGCTTGTCGCCACGATCTGGATCACTCGCAGTCCAGAAGTAGCCGAGAAAGACACCAAGATCGACTGCACTGCGGCTGTACCAACACAGAAAAAGACAAGAACGTTGACGATAAGGAATTTATAATAACGGGTCATGATTTTATCGTGCAGGGCGGACAATGTTCCCAAGGTGTGCGCCTTCTTCGCGATCAAG